GTTTAATTGTCATTTCATATATTCGGATACTAAATGTAATTTTATTATAATCAAGAACTGAACAAAGAAAATACTACCTTGTTAGTATTTAATCTTGTCCCCAAAATGTATTACCATGCGTTAATTATAATTTTTTCAAGATTTTAAAAGACATGCCATATTGTCTTACAAAATGCATGGTTTACTAATCAGTTCAATTCACTATGATAAAGCAAGTCATAATGCATAAAATAAAAAATAAAAAAATTCTGTTAAAAAATAGAAAATTAAATAATTTTGTTAGCATTGAAAAAGGAAGTTACAAAATATCTCTTTGATGATGATGTAAACATATTTCTAAAAAAAAAAAAGAAATCTGATCCATAGAAAACTATAGGAATTAACAAAAATTACGGAACATATGGTAAAATAAAATTTTTTAATTCAAGTGAAAACATACTGGAGAAAAAATATTTTAAAAATCATTTATAATAGTTAATACAAAAGCAAAAGCATATAAAATATTTGTGAATAATTTGAACAAGGAAGACATAGTAACTATCAAGAAATAATATTTTTTGACTTTCAGGCTCGGGTTTGTTATATAGATAAACTTGTTTCATGGGAGTTTGTTGTACAGATTATTTCTTTTTTTTTCTTTTTTGCCAATCAGTTTGAGCTTATGAGGTTGCTCAGGTTAGCCTTGAACTGCTGACCTCGCCTTCGCAAGCACCATGACCTCTGGTGGGAGCCACTTTGGACCCTGTACAGATTATTTCATCACCCAGGTACAAAACCTAGTACCAGAATTTATTATTTTTTTCTGATTCTCTGCCTCCCCGACGCTCCACCGTCAAATAAACCTCAGTGTCTATGCTACCTTCTTCATGTCAATGTGTCAAGAAATATTTTACTGAAAGGCATAAAATCTGTTCTTCATAGCTATAAAAAGAAAATATATGTACCTGAATGAAAAAAATGAAAAAGAAAATATGTTGATTCATTTAGTGTTCAAACATAAAATACATGTCATTTTAATTTGGGACTTCACAGAGAAATTCTTGAATTGGATACAAATGAATACATTCTAATTCCCATAGGAAGAGTTATAAATCTGCAAGAATCTTTAAATACAAATAAGAGCATACTAAAAATTTAAATTGAAACTTGAGCAGTAGGGAGAAAATAAATGATAAAAGATGGAAAGCCTCAAGCAAAATTGTAATATAAACACAATAATAAAGAGAATAATTGAGAAGCATGCAGCACAATATAGAAGATGACACTTTTACATTTAAACCAGGAACCCCAGAGGGAGACTAGAGCTGTCCCACATTGCCTTCTAAGTCCCAGCAGAATCAAACACTGTTTTCTCTGCAGGAGAGCATTCCTGAATGCTGACCTCTACAATTTCCATAGATTAACATCCACCAACCATGCACTCACATCAGAAGATGATAAATCATGGGAGAAAACAAAATACAATAAAGAAACATTAACAGACAACGTAAGTGCTAAGTTATGAGAAGCATATCAGACAGAAAATAAAATATAAAATGATTAAATAAATGAAATATGGATGACAATAACAGGGAGTCAAAAACCAAAACTATTAAAACAACAATGACAGACCCAGATCCACCTATGAAAAACTGGTTTGTGCATAATCCTATTTCTTAAAACAGCCAGGAGAAGCAGAGAAAATAAATAGAAGACCTGCATGAAGATAGTGAAGAACAACCAAAACAGGCAACTAGAGGTGCTTTGATGGCTGAGAAAAATCACTGGTCATTGCTCTTGGATATTTATGTATTGTGGTCTTTCAAAAGCAATATTTCAATGACTATAATAATTTTTTAAAAATACATATATCATGTGACCTAGCAATCCTACTTTTGGAGACTTTCCTATAAAAATTACAGCATCTAAGACAGATGTGACGGTGTAAACCTATAGTCCTAGCTATCATGGAAGCTACTTTGTTGTTTTTTTTCCTGCAATTCTTTTATCTTTTTTCTCTTCTGACTGTGTATTTTCAAAAATCTATCTTCAGGCTCACCAATTCTTTCTTCTGCTTGATCAGTTTTGCTATCCAAAGACTATGATGCATTCATCAGTATGCCAGTTGCAGTTTTCAGCTCTAGAATTTCTTGTGTTTAATTATTTCAATCACTTTGTTAAATTTATTTGATACAACTCTGAATTTCTTCTCTGTGTTACCTTGAATTTTTCTGAGGTTTCTAAATTTTCTATTATGAATTCTCTGTCTGAAAGGTCATGTGTCTGTTTCTCCAGGATTGGTTTCTGATACTTTATTTAGTTTATCTGGTGAATTTCATTTTTTTTTTCCTGGACTGTCTTGATAATTGTAGATATTCATCTGTGTCTGGGCATTGAAGAGTTAGGTATGTATTGTAGCTATCACTGTCTGGGCTTGTTTGAACCCATCCTTCTCAGGAAGGCTTTCCATATATTACAGAGTTTTGGGGCATTGTGATATAAGTTCTATCTGCTTTAGAAGCCCAGCAATGGTGTGGTTCCTGACAACTTGTACAGGTACTACCTAGATGGTTCTGGACAAGATCTGGGAGAATTCTCTGGATTACCAGGCAAAGATTCTTATTCTCTTCCCTTAGTATCTCCCAAACAGAGTGTCTCTGTTCTGAGCCACCTAAAGTTCTGGGTAAAATGATATAAGCACCCTCTGTGGCCACCACCACTAGGACTGCACTGGTTCAGACCTGAAGCCAGCACAACTCTGAGTTCACCCAAGGCTTGCTGTACCCACTCCCTTGCTACTGCCTATGTTCTCTCCTGCGGCTCTACAATCAGCAGTGGCAAATCCAGCCAGGCTGGATTTTTGCATCCTACAAAGTTTTATTCTTTACAGGAACTCAGTGCCCATGATCTACCCTGTCCACAGCCACACAAAGAGCTGCTCTCTCTAGAGGGGTGGCAGCAGTCCCGCATGGTCCAGCGAGACCCTGAAGGTTTCAGGAGACCTTCGGTCCCGAGTCTCTTTCAGTCACTGTCTTCTAACTCTGAGTCTTCTGCAGACTCGGATGCGCTCTCTGGCAAGTCATCTCCCATCTGCTGGAACCTTCCCGACTGTGAGTCCCACATGTATTTGATGGTCACCTTGAATTCAGCCATCTCATACCCAAAAAGCTTCAGGACGCGAGCCTGCTCTGGGGTCAGCACGTCACCCTCCTTGCACACCTCGTAGTCGGACAGCAGGGTCACCACACCTCTTTTGAGGGTGGTGGGCAGGCCCAGCTGCCTCAGCTGTGGCTCCATGGAGTGGGGGAACTGCTCCAGGGGCCCTGAGTCCAAGCTCACAGTGAAAGTTGCTTTGTTACCAGCTCGGGCATAGTCCATTTCTGTGTATTTCGTGAACCATTCATTCACCTCCTCCTTTGTGCGGTTGGTGAACAGGAGACCCACTTCACCCTCAACTTTTTGCTGACCTGGTGCAGGTTGTCTTTGTACTCATCAGATGGGCTCCGACCCAAGGCCACCATCATTACCTTGTTTTTGCCAAAGAACATCCGGCTGTGCTTCCAGGCGTTCCAGATGTCCTTCAGCTTGCTATTTCTCATGTTGGCCACAGAGAAGATGAAAAGGTACTTGTAAGTGTCCACACATTTCCGAAGCTCTTCTATCAGGTTTTGTTTCAATTCCAAGCCCTTCTTGGCAGTTTTGGTTAAGGAGACTTTCTTGTCGCGTTTGGATTTGGGCATCGCGTTGAATCCACGTTTTTTTTTTTATCTTTAAGAACACAAAAACAATTTTTAAAAGGTGGGAGTTCCCACCGTGCTTAGTACCCTGACTGCCAAATCACATTCCTTCCTCAGAGACTCTGACTTACAATACATTTTAAGAAACAGGGATATGTCCTAGGGGAGCTACTGGTCTCCTTAAAGTTTGGGCAGACTGCCTGCTGGTGCCAGAATGATGCCAAACACGTAGAAAAGTCCCAGCAAGAGGTTGAGCTTGGCAGTCCTCTGGGGCAGTTTGTTGAAGGCCTGGCTTCGGAATTGTCTCTCAAGGGAGAAGGCCATGGGAATGGTGAGCAGGGGGAGTGCCAGGCTGATGCTGCAGTGCATGGCCAGGATGCTGAAGACCAGGTAGGGCAGGAAGAGCAGCGTGTTGTAGAGAATGTAGGAGAGTGTGGGGCCGATGAGGATGGCCAGTGTGACGATGCCAGCCTCCCGGTCGGAATCCACGTCTCTGGTGTTGTTGGAATGGAGAATGGCCTCGGTGCTAAGGGCAAGGGGGATGGCATAGACCAGTGGGAAGATGGCCAGGGACCCCACCTGGACAGCGTAGGCGAACATCACAGCCAGCGGGCCAAAAGTGATGAGGATGATGAGGTCTCCCAGAGCCACGTATTTGAATCCAATTCCAACAGCAGCTCACCCCATCCACATCCTGTTTCTCCACCTTTTTTTTTTTTTTTGAATCCAAATGGTTTATTTCAGGGTTTTGGCTTGTAAGCCACTTCCATTGGGAAGAATAAGCTCCCCACAGAGTGACCTTTGAGAGCTGAGAGTTCTTGGGGTTCGGCAGCTGAGGGGCTGGGTCAGAGTGAGGAGCAAAGTCCAACGGGCATCCCGCTCCTGCGGCCTGGGCTTTCCTGGCTGATGGGGTGGGGGCACCATGTTTCTCTAGCTCCAGACTCCTGGGAACAGGGCAGAGGGCAGAGGGAGTGGGTTGCACCCACCAGGAAGCCTGGGAGTGCCCTTGCTGGAGGCTCGGGCTGGGGCAGGGTATGGCTGCACCCGGGTACCCGTAGTGTTTGAGCTGATGGGGGAGTCAGCTGTCTTATACAGTCGGGGAAAGGGGCCAATGGGGGCTCCAGACTTTCCCAGCCTGAAAATGACAGAAGTGCTGGAACAGGGGCTTGAGGGAGAGTGGCCAGACATTCCAGGACATCACCCCCTGCCCCAAGCACGCAATAAACACTGACAAGAAAAAGTTTTTATTTCCTGGTTCAACTTTTTTTTTGGGGGGACTATAGACTGAAGAATGGGAATAAACACGAATAAATAACAAAGCGAGGCCGCGCACGCCGGGATGCGCCTGGCTGCAGCAGGCAAGGCTATTGTCTCCCCGCCCTGACGCCAGCCCCGGCATCTTTTTTCAGCTCTTTTCCTTTCCCGGCCCTTTTAAAATTTTCTTTTTTAAAAAGACGCCCCCTCCAGCCCCCTCGCCGGTGACCTTGGCCGTCTCGGATCCTCTGATTCCACGCGGCTCGCTCTAACTTGCCCCCGCGCCGGCCGGGCCCATGGCCGCGTCGGAGGACGGGAGCGGCTGCCTAGTGTCGCGGGGCCGCTCGCAGAGTGACCCCAGCGTCCTCACCGACTCCTCGGCCACCTCCTCCGCGGACGCCGGGGAGAACCCAGATGAGATGGACCAAACGCCTCCGGCGCGTCCTGAATATCTGGTCTCAGGGATTCGAACTCCCCCTGTGAGGAGGAACAGCAAACTGGCCACCCTGGGCAGGATCTTCAAACCCTGGAAATGGAGGAAAAAGAAAAACGAAAAACTGAAGTAGACCACGTCAGCACTGGAGAAGAAGATGGCTGGCAGGCAAGGCCGAGAGGAGCTCATCAAGAAGGGGCTGCTGGAGATGATGGAGCAGGATGCTGAAAGCAAAGCATGCAACCCCGATGGAGGACCCCGATCCATGCAGAGTGAACCACCTACTCCCAAGCCAGAGATGCTGACTTCAGAAGATGCCCAGCCCGGAAGCCCCTTGGCCACTGGGACGGACCAGGTCTCCCTGGATGAGCCACTGTCCTCAGCCGCCCACTTGGACGATGCAGCCAAGATGCCATCTGCATCCAGTGGTGAAGAAGCAGACGCTGGCAGCCTCCTGACCACAACGGATGAGCTCTCCCAAGCCTTAGCTGGGTCTGACTCCCTGGACAGTCCTCCCAGACCTCTGGAGAGATCCGTGGGCCAGCTCCCCAGCCCCCCACTGCTGCCCACTCCGCCACCCAAGGCAAGCTCCAAAACCACAAAAAATGTCACAGGCCAAGCTGTACTCTTCCAAGGCTCCAGCGTGAAGAGTGCTGACCCTACCCTCCGGGGGCAGCTCTCCACACCCACGGGGTCTCCGCATCTCACCACAGTCCACCGGCCACTGCCCCCCAGCCGCGTCATTGAGGAGCTTCACAGAGCGCTGGCCACAAAGCACCGCCAGGACAGTTTTCAAGGAAGGGAAAGTAAAGGGTCTCCAAAGAAGCGAATGGATGTCCGTCTGTCGAGAACATCCAGTGTGGAGCGGGTCAAGGAGAGGGAGGAGGCTTGGAGCTTTGACGGGGCCTCGGAGAATAAGCGAACTGCAGCTAAGGAATCCGAGGAGAACAAGGAGAACCTGCTCATGAATTCTGAACTCAAGGACGACTTGCTTTTGTATCAGGACGAGGAGGCACTGAACGATTCCATTATTTCTGGTGAGGAAAGGATAAGTCATTAAGTATGGGGATTTCGGCCAGAGGTCTAGTGTCACCAGGGGTTTGGGGACAGAGCTCATGCCTGGGGGAGGAACAGGTCGAGGGGCTGCACCTGGGGAGAAACAGGAGGGGGTTATGTCCCCTGGAAATCAGCCTCTCCTGAAATAAGCTGGGGTGGGGGTGCACAGCCAGGCTTAGAGCAAGGAATTAGAAAATACCACTGTGAAATTGTTTTGAGAGTTGCATATTAGTTTTCATATGTATGTGAAAAAAATCCCATAAAAATGGTATAGCAAGTGACTTTGAGAATGTCACCCCTGAGGATAATGTGGCAAACAGTGTAAAAAAAAAAAAAAAAAAAAAAACTGTTCTTTCCTTCAGAGCAGTACGTTACCTCAGTCCCTGGATGGGTCTAGAAGTGCCATCCAGGAGCCAGAGACTAGAGTCAAAAACCTGAGATGTCTGTCTACTTGGTGTTCTATTGTACTGCAGCTGAGCTGGCACTTAAACCACAAGAGGTAAACCTTCCCACTCTTCCATCTGCTTTCCAAAGGCAGAGAAGCCTCACCCGATGGCCACCACTACCACAGGCCCACGGGGAGTACTGCCAGAGTGTCTCTGGTGTTCCCCTAATGCCCAAGGGTTCTTAAGTCAATTCATGGTGAATACTGCTTGACCCGGGACTCACCCTTCAGGGACAGTGGATTCCCCGCTGGCCCAGAGAAGATCCAGCAATGCCATCTAAAAGCCAAATTTTGGCATGGAGGACTTCAATAGCTCACTTGGTGCTCTACCCCCTGTAGCCGAGCTAGTACCTAAGATACAAGACAAAGTCCGCTTTACTTTTGTCTCTCCTTTTCTCAAACAGGAGTCTTTTCCCATAGTCACCATGGCTGGTGATGTGCTGAGTCTCAACGGAAGCTAGCAAGTTTCAGAGTTTCACTCAGGGCCCTTAATGTAGTACCTGGGTATCACTGCTGGTTATTCAGGGCCCAAGGGCTTTTCACTTAGCAGGTGACAAATCCTGCCCCCTACTACACTATTCCCTTCAAGGTAGCAAGTTCCTTTCTGGTCCAGGATGTGTCCAGAAATGTTCAGAGCTAGGGCCTGGAAAGAGGGCCAGATGCATATTTCTTAAAAATGCTTGTCTTGCATACATGGTTGATAAATCCATGTCCTTGTTTGGGGGATGATTGATCAGGTCTTCTATCCCACCACCTTGCTCCTCCTGGAGCAATTACTCCCCATTTTTTTTGGAATTATGACCATTTCTAAGTCAGGAATAAGCTAATCGAGATCATTATATTAAAAAATACTTAGTTAATTATTAGTATTCAATGCTATTTATCAGTGTTTTCTTGCATTTTTCTAAATTGTGTGATTAGGAATGTTTGTGTCCTAGGGGAAATATTTTCATATTTTCTTCAGATTAGCACTTCTTATTCTCACTTAAATGTGATAAACTGCATATAGTATATTACCTCTATAAGAGTCACAATGCTCATTCATATATTTAAGGTTCTAAAATGTCCTGCAATAAAACAGTGATTTAACTTTAATTAACTGACCATTTCTCAGCTTAGTTCTACTATAAATTTGTTCTTTAAACTTTGGCACAGTTCTTACCTTCTCATGAACTATTTCTTCATCTCTAAAATGAAGGTAGGATTTTATTATGTCTAATTATCTTTTTAGTTCTGAAATTATACACATCTAATAAATTTCCAGGACCAAGATGGCAAAGGTCAGGGCTTAAGTAAAACCCTGAAGATGTATTCTTAACCAGAATTGAGTAAATAATTGTACTTAGGTTTTGATACTGTTGTTATTCTTCTGAGGACTCATCAGAACAGTACGTTTTTATCTTGCTGAAACAAAGGGGTTCTCATGTCTTAAATGACATGCTCATATCTACTATTCATTAATCTTTTTGTTAAGAAACCATAGGAACTGCCTTTATCCAAGGTCAATATTTTAACGGAAGATGGTATTTATATCTCATAACTCAGTTTGGCTTAGCAGGGTTATGGTAATTCAGTGCAGTATTTATGACTGATTTTAAAAAGCCTGAAGTAGAAGAAATCCTGGATATTTCTGACTCAGTATCTGGCAGAGCTTTTACAAGGGAGAAACACTATAAAAGCAGTATTGCATTGTAACACAGACTCTCAAGTCAGATGTAAGTTTCAAGAGTTAGCCTTGCAGAAGTACACTAAGGATAACAGTGTTTGCTGTTTGCCTTAGTATTACTAAGAACACATCATAAATCCTTGACTTCTGCCAAATACAGAGAATTTTCCTGTGGTGGCTCTCAAGAAATATGTCAAGGCCAGAGTTATAGTAAAAGGAAATAATATACATTATAATAATAAATAGTCTACTCAATGTTTTGCTGGTTACTTGAGTAAAATATGATCAGACAATTTTGGTTAGTTGAATTTGGTTAGTTAGTTGAACTCAAACACCAGTTTTCCCCATTTACACCAAAAAGCAGCATGACAGTGACAAAGCACTGTAACTCCTATATGGTCTTCTTGGCCTTTAACACTCTTTAAATGATGGATGGGGGAAGAAGAAGAAGATGGTGCTGTGAAAATAACCCAGGATTGAAGCTCTCAGTGCAAGCACGGAGAGGGTGAGTCAGGGCCGCATTTCCAGATGGATCTTTGTTGCCCACAGAACGGGGAAATTCCCAGGCATAAAAGAGACGTGGGATGCCAGGCAGAAGTTTTGGCTGGTGTAGCTGGCAGCCGGTGTGGCGGCAGCCCGCACCGTAGCACAGCGGCGCTACACAGTGCTCGGCACAAAGCACACTGGTCCAGGTGCCCTGTTGAACCGGCAACCTGAGACTTGAGAGGGCTGAACTTGAGACTGAACAGGACTTGGACAGTGAGCCAGCCCAGGAAATTCCAGGGACACAGCATTTGGGGTAGTGCAGTGTGACAAACAAAACGGCGATTCCAAACGCTCCCAGTGGAGAGGTTCCCTGAGAGTGCAACTCCGTGGGGGAGGGGCGTCCGCCATTACCGAGGCAACCTGCTCCTACTGAGGTACATGCCCATTGCTGACCAGCCTGCCTTTGCCAAGGCAACCTGCTACAACAGAGAGACTCCACAACAGGGCGTAGCCCATGGCAGCAGGGCAGAGACTGCAGCAGAAGGGCAGAGCCTGCAGCAACAGGGCGAACCTCACACCAGCAGGGCGGAGCCTTGGCAGGCAAATAGTAACTGGACTGCCTCCTGGCTGGGCAGGACAGTGCAATGGACACTCACGAAGAAAGCCCCAACCCCCCCAGACAGAGCATCTAAGAAAAAAAAGAATTTTCTTATGAGTTCTGTTGCAACAGAATTAAACATAGCAGACTAACAGCTCTGAATGAACAACAGAGCTCACAGCTCAGCAATAGAGCTCCTATAAAGTACAGACTGTCTCCTCAAGCAGCTCCCTGAACCCTCTATATCCAAAGACTGACATTTGGCAGGCATCATTCTGGGACAAAGATAGCAGAAAAAAGAAACTGGTAGCATCCCTCACTGTTCCGCAGCTGCTATAGGTGCACCCCAGACAAGCAGGGCCAGGAGTGGACCTCAGCAGTCATACAGTAGAGGGGCTAGACTGGTAGAAGGAAAACCAACTAACAGAAATACTTCATCATCAACAATCTGGGTGTCCATTCAGAGACCCAATCGAAAAGTCAGCAACTACACAGATGACAGGTGGATAAATCCACAAAGATGGGAAGAAACCAGTGCAAAAAAGAGGAAAACACCCAAAACCAGAACACCTCACCTCCTAGAAAGGACCAAAACTCCTCACCAGCAAGGGAACAAAGCTGGACGGAGAATGACTGTGATGAAATGACGGAATTAGATGTCAGAAGGTGGATAATGAGAAACTTCTGTGAGCTAAAAGAACATGTTTTAAAACAATGCAAAAAAAAAAAGAACCTTGAAAAAAGATTCGAGGAAATGATAACAAGAATGGATAACTTAGAAAGGAATATGAATGAATTAAAAGAGCTGAAAAACACAATATGAGAACTTCGCTAAGCATGCACAAGTTTCAGTATCTGAATTAACCAAGCAGAAGAAAGAATGTTAGAAATCAAAGATCAACTCAATGAAATAAAATGAGAAACCAAGATCAGAGAAAAAAGCGCAAAAAGGAATGAACAAAGCCTCCAAGAAATGTGGGACTATGTGAAGAGACCTAACCTACGTTTGATAGGTATACCAGAATGTGACAAAGAGAATGAATCCAAGCTGGAAAATACTCTTCAGGACATTATCCAGGAAAATTTCCCCCACCTAGCAAGACAGGCCAACACCAAAATGCAGGAAATACAGAGAATACCACAAAGATATTCCACAAGAAGAGCAACCCCAAGGCACATAATCATCAGATTCAACAAGGTTAAAAAAAAAGAAGAAAATACTAAGGGCAGCCAGAGAAAAAAAAAGGGTCACCCACAAAGGGAAGCCCATCAGACTCACAGCAGATCTCTCGGCAGAAACACTACAAGCCAGAAGAGAGTGGGGGCCAATATTCAACATCCTTAAAGGAAAGAACTTTCAACCCAGAATTTCATATCCAGTCAAACTGAGCTTCATAAGTGAAGAAAAAATAAAATCCTTTGTGAACAAGCAAGTACTCAGAGATTTTGTCACCACCAGGCCTGCTTTACAAGAGCTCCTGAAAGAGGCACTACACATAGAAAGGAACAACCAGTACCAGCCATTCCTAAATCACACTAAATGCTAAAGAGCATCAACACAATGAAAAATCTACAACAACTAACAGGCAAAACAGCCAGCTAGCATCAAAAGGGCAGTATTAAATTCACACATAACAATATTAACTCTAAATGTAAATGGACTAAACACACCAATCAAAAGACACAGACTGGCAAATTGGATAAAAATTCAAAACCCATAGGTGTGCTGTACCAAAAAACCCATCTCACATGCAAGGATACACAAAGGCTCAAAATAAAGGGATGGAGGAAGATTTACCAAGCAAATGGAGAGCAAAAAAAAAG